CACAATTTAACAAACATCCACATGATGTCAAGGTTAATAGTGCTGCATGCCCCACTCATCCCCTTCTCCCCACTGCAGCAACCCCAGCAAAGCATGCAAGGAAGGCTGGACCTCTGGAGGTCATCCCGTTCTGCCCTTCTGTGCTCACCCCGAAAGCATATGCATTTTATGACTGAATAGATAACAGCTTCAACCTCAAGAATGGAGGATACCATTAAAAATGTATAGAATATTTACCAAACCTTCCTCTCTGTTAAGGCAGTGGGGAGAGGATAGGACCCTTTGCTGCAGTGTTTGTGGAATATTTATGTAGCTCCTGCTAGCAGCTATATGGGACACAGGGCCTGGGAGTGGTTTACCAGGGGTCTGCTGAAAAGTTTGGAGCCAGGTCTTGTATCTGCAATTAGGGGATGGCCTGAGGCTGCCACATGCATTTATATAGAAGGAAAATACTCAGTCTTGATTAAGCAAGGTGGGAATTTGCTGTTTCTTAATCCATAAAGCCGCTATCATTCGCTATTTCCTTATCTGCACAAGGTTTGAACAAAGTTCTCATGAGCTAAGAGAACTGGGGGCAATTCAGCCAGGTCATTTCTTCACACAGGACAGAAAGTGTCATTATTAATCCAAGCACCGCATGACTCTCTCCGACACCTGCATAATATGAAATAAATCTTTGTCTTTAAATAACCTTTCTTATATTTGTAAGTTTGTCTCTCAGCTCAATAATCCTGGGTTAAAACTGTGGCACTTTGAGGTCCATATGACGTTCTAGATTTCACATACGGCCACGTCTACAGCTGGTGTAGGACACTACAGTTTTCCTGAATCCAGATGAGTGCATTTCATCAAGTTCATGTGGGCTTGCTTGTTTTCCAAGCATTTCTTCTGGTTGTCCCATACTCAACCATTAATTTTTGGGGGGGTTTGTACTCCCAGGAGTTTGAAAAACATGGAAATGCTGACATGCTGATAACCTGGTTTCTGCTAAGAAAGGAATAATAAATGTGTATTCTTTTACAAGCTGGGTTTTCTTGGAAATGTATTTAAAAATTATTGAAAACTTCTAAGTGTCACTTTAAATGTGTTTTAAACTATGAGCAACATCAAAGAGTTGGAAAATGGATAGCTCAAAAATCAGTCATTTAAAAGTATCACCTGTAGTTAAAATAACAGGCTATTATTATGTGTGGAGTCAAAGAGATTTGGGAATAAAGGCTCTGTACATGGTGGAAGAAAAATAGCTTTTTAATTCTTTTACTCTGCACTACTAGTTACTTATATTTTGGGTACTATATATTCATTCTTTATGTTCTCTGCAAAATTAGATTTGGGATTAAGCAGGAAGTTCAGAACTGACACACAATAACTAATGTGTTACAGACTTCTTCAATCTGAGTTTCTGTTGCTGTGTAAGTGTTCAGAGCATTCTCTTCCCCTCTGTCCCTTTGTGGAGCCAACCTGGCGTCAATCTCACTCATGGCAGAACTTGCCAGAGATGTGTCTGTATGTCAGAAACTTACATTGAGTGAGGCTTCAGCTACCACTAAACTTTGCTTTGGGTGTGTGCACTAGTATCTCAGCAATGCACGGCACCAGGATGATGGTTTATGTCATGCTATTTAAGGCATCTAAACTCTCCTGTTTAGCAGCTAGATGATGTAATTGTCCTGTCTGCCTTAAAAATTGATCAGACAATGAATGCGCGTGCTGGCACGTAGGCTACTTACAAATGGTTGGCCACCAATAGTGTTTGGTGTGCTTGATATTCCTAATTTACTACTTTGATTGTTTGGGGTAGACGCTGAGATCACATGGCACATACTGGTTCTTACACTGGGTAGATCTAATTCCTTAAGTCGGGTCTCTGGATTGAACAATGGCAAATGATGACTAGCTTAATAGCCTCCTTGAGGGGAGTATTCAATATTAGTCTCTACTACATTCCTGGTATAATTGCTTGCTGGAATATTCATGTAAAAGCTGCAATGCTGCAGTCAAAACAAATCCATTTTCAGGGTCTGACCTGATATTTATAGATGATTTTTGTTGCATTTCTGTCCGAACGAGTACAAGGTGACACAGTAATTCTGATGTATATATGCTATAGTACATCATCTGATAATCAACACATGTTACACATGGCATGATAAACATGAGAGCTCAATTTAGGTTGATGAATGGATAGCCCAGAATCTGTGGAATTTTTGGAGGCTCGAGAGACGTGTTATACAACATTTGGAAACATTTGACCCTCCTGGTGTTTTATGTTTCTGCGTGCCACATTCATGTGAGGAGGGATCTTTGGAATGAAGAAGGTAATGGAGAGGTGGCAATCGCATCTCTTGGAGGTTATACCTCTGGGTGCAGGCCAGCTGGATGGAGGTCAGCAAGACCAAGCCTTATCTCAGCTTGAAACATGCATTGGTTTTAAATGTCCTCCAGTTAACTTTAACTCTTTAGCTTGGAAGGCAACAAAGCAGCAAGGGCTGATAGTTCAGCTTGGAGGGTCTATCTGGAGGTAGCAAATATCCATTGCCTTTGTACTGAATTAGGACCAATTCAGACACTGAAGATAGAAAATATTCTATTACCTTTAAGAATCAAGCTTTCAAGGGAGCACTTGGTGATGATTTTCCTCTTTCTTTTGCAGTCCTGATAAGGGAAGTTTTCCATGTTTAAGAGTGGGAACTTGAGATGAGGTTATGGTATGTGTGGGAGGGAGATCATTCTTCTACCTTTGTCATGCATGGTCTGTGGAGAAGCTGTGCCCAGCTCTTATTTATGGTTCCTTCGCTGACTGAAAGCTATAAAGCAGCTGCACATTTTCAGAGAGAAAATGTTATCTTTCCATTTACCTCAGATTCGTGTAGTCAAGCAGCCTGAGCATAAAGAGGTTCCTGCTTCTGCGTGAGGCAATAGGGATCTTCCTTAGGAGGGTTATTCCCTTAGAGTGACGAACAATATGGACAATAGCTCAATCTTATCTGTAGCTCAGTAACTGTTGTGCAGTACCTGATTTTGAATAGCTGTCAAGATGCCTTCTTTCTGCAAACCTGAGAAGATATAAACCATGGGAGGAGTGTTTAAATACAATATATGTATATATATTTACATACATACAATGAAAGAGAAGAAGGGAAGGGGGAAAGAGCAAAAGAACAAGTGAATACCCAAAGCATTTCAGGATCCTTCAGGATGAAAGGTGCTACAGAAATATATTATCCCTATTACTTTTATCAATAATACAATATTGCTAGCTCACTTATTTCATTATAGTCCCATTGCAACACTGATGTTACCTGGCCTATTATAAAACAGACTGGAGGTTAGTTTTGTCTTTCGCTAGGAAACCCACTCTGAGGACTGTAGCTAATGTGCCTCAGAGTGACAGAACAAGTATGTTTTATGAAGCCAAATAAAAGTTTGCTTCATCAACTGCTGCAGTGTATAAACAACTGTCAGCCATCTTGGGGAGGAGACATCCTTTTATTTAACTGCAAATTAAAAACCATAAACCACCTTAAACACAGAGCTACTGTCACATCAAATCAATACAATAATTGTGCTCAAGCAGTTGGAAGGCACGCTATGCTCAGCATCTTGTATACTAAACATAAATCAATCCCCAGAGCAATAAGCAAGTCTTATAATATATGAGCAGATTATGGTATATTAGCACATTTTGTATTGTATGACTGCTTTTCCCCATTCGCATTGAATACAAAGGAGAAACTTTGTGATACAAAAGTTGTTAGCAATCCCTTTTGTGCTTGTGAACTGCTCTTAATAAGAAAGTCCTAGGAATAAAGCGAGAGACTCTCAGGTCACAAACCCCAGAGCCAAACTTTGCTGCCTGAGCGAGAGCTGGTTTTCAGGCTGCTGGATGTGAGGGGTTTAAATGCTTTTTATTAAATGTAGTAACAAATCAAAGTCTTACAGGCTGAAATCTCTGATCTGAATGAACGGCTATCTGCAGGCTTGAGGAAAAAGGCCTTAAAGCAAATTCCCAGACTTCTGCACTGACTTCATCAGTAACCCAAGGCTCAGTTGTGTTTTCACTTGACCGCTGCACATGTCTCATGGGCATGAAGAGAGAGATGCTCTCCCAGATACAGACCGCTTTGCAGAGCTGCTGAGGGAAGCCCTTACAGTGATACAGCGTGACCAGGGAAGCAAAGGAGCCAGATGCTTCACTGCTCACAGGGTCTTCTTAAAAAGGGAGAAAATTTCTGCTTTTCCCCTCTGGCCATTCCTTCCCCATCCAGACATCTCCCAGCTCTCTCCTCCTATGAAGCTGTAAATAAACCTTACTGGCAAGGCCAAGATAAGGCTGGAAGGCTCCTCTTGGTGCTGGGAGCCACTGGCTTTCACAGCAGTGCTGCCCTCTTACTGCTGATCCAAAGCCTGATTTCAATCCACAGCTTTATTCATGCTGCTTGTAAACACAGCTTTGCAAGTGCCAAGCATTTTCAGGTTTCAGCTGCAGGTAGCTCCTGCCTTTCTTTTTGTCCTCTGTTCTTGCTAGACGCTTGCCCTCTGACTTACTTTTAGCCCCAGTGAATACAACTGGATAACTCCAGGCTTACTGGTGCGTATTGCTGCTGCAAGGAGGGACACAGAGGTTGGAGAGCAGTGGGCAGGCTTGCTCTTTGCCCACATTTCTCACCACAGCCTTTGCTCTGAACTGCACCTTACAGTCACCAGGTTAGAGAAAGCCAAAAGAGCTGTCTCAGGAGAGCAGCTCCGCCTCACTCTCTGCCAGCCTTTGCAGCCAGGGAACTTGAAACTCATATAAAGGGTAATAAAAGGGAGATTATTGAAGTAGAGCTGGAGAAAAGCCCAAAGGAAGTTATTGTTCCATATGGAAGTCAATTCTTTTCTAGTGTTATCTGTTGCTGCCTTTCTCTTTGCATTAGTACTTTATTGCCCTGATCTGAGAAAAACAAAATACTGCACCTTGGTATTAGCAAGCTGCTGATGCTGTGTATTTCCCATCCACAAAGCTTTCAAGTAATTTACCAAGGTGGCTGCAAACTGAGAAACTGAGGCATAAAAACCTTTAAGTCCCCCTGAAAGCCAAGGCAAAGAACCCAGGTGTTCAGAGGCTCCGGTGCGTGTTGCTGCCTGCGCCATTATCACCTTGCTGGCCAAGAGAGCCTTTCGGTTTCTGTTTGAAGCTTGTGCCAGGGGTTCCAGCTTGGGGAACTGCCATGGCACTGCTCTAAAAAAAGCAAGAAATACCAACCTGATGCAAATAGAGATTTATGGGGAGGGGATAAAAATCTTAGTGAGGAACTGAGATGCCCGCAGAACAAGCCCCAGAACGATTTGGCAGCCATCCCTGGGTTCTCATCTTCAGCCTGTTACCCTACTCACGTTTCTGGGGCTGTAGAGTGATAGAGCCAGTTCATCCAGATGATACCGGAGAGGTGATAAAAAGGAGTCACCAATTAGCTCCATCTGCAAGTGCTATGTAATCGGAAGCATACAGCCCTGCGGGGAAAAATATAGCAGGAGGTCAAACACTGGCACTTTGGCAGGCTCAAGCAATAACTGTGTCAGCCCTCTCTCTCCGAGGCACTAAGCCTCCCACTGAAGTGTCATTTACCCTGTCAGCTCCTGGAGATGGGCTGAGAGAACGTGTCCTCACAGAGGTGGCCGGTGTCCTGTTTGGAAATGGCCAAGATCCCCTTTCCACTGGGATTGAATTGCAGGTGGCAGAGCCTGGGCTGGAACCTGAGCTGGGTTAGCCCCAGTTTGTAAAATTAGGCCACTCTTTGCTCTAGGCTGGGAAGGATGCCCAGGAAAGGGAGAAGGTGACACAGGACACATTTTGATCCAGGAGGGCTGGGAAGAGCCTGGCTATGTATGCTGAGTGATTCAAGCCACGTTCAGGTCAACATCTTAATCTCCTCCAAGTCAAAAAGCCAAGAAACAGCAAGAGGGGCAAATTTCAGCTGGGTTGGCTTCAATTAACATCTTCTTTATGAGTTGTGCTCCAATGGCAGATGCCATTCATTAGCGTTATTTACGCATTAGGAGAACTATAATTGGAGAGTAGCAAGTGTCCCCATCACAGCTGACCTTATTTATGGAGGAGCTAACATCTGAATGTCATATTTGCATCCATGAATTTTCTTCCCCCCAATAACCACTGTAATATGCAAATACTGAGTTGCAAAAGAATGAAAACAAACTAGACAGCTATTTTGGTTATCTCTGGGAGATTTGTGTTTGCTGTGGCTTTGGAGGCTGTGCTGAGATTAGACTCTGTCACCTACTCAGGAAGTAAGTGAGAAAGAAAGGCATTTCAGGTACAGGGGTGTGTGGATTGTGAATTGTAAATAGCTTGCAGTGCAGTCTAAAGGAAGAAGCAGGTATAAAGCATATTACAGGGCCATTTGCAACTCTTTGTTCAGGTATAACTGACACTCGCAGTCATTTCATTAAATATTCTGTTTATATGCTTTTCCATCCTGAATAAGGAGTTATCCTAGTCCCTGGAGTGAAGGAGGTTCACAAAATACCTGCATTCATGTGCTCAAAGCAAGGCATTAATGGAGCCATGTAAGTAAAAGGATATGAGGCATCAGCAGGGAGAGATTCAACGGAACAAACTGTTCCCTGTTGCAATGCTGATTCTGCCAGGAGATGATGCAAAATGAAGAAAAATAAAAGCTTTTTGCCATGTTCTGGGTAGCAGACATGGAGGGAAACGCTGCTGGTTGGGAGTTTGCTGGCTGAATAATTGCACATTGGAAAAGGTCAGCTCATGATAAGTCACAGACTTAAATCTTACATCTCAGACAGCTGTGGGAGTGCTCTGCTATGCCATGTTTTGTGGGCAGAGGGTCCTTTGCCATCACAGAAACAGGCCCATGGTCCAGCTGCTCTCCTATGGCTTAAACACGCGCTTTCCCATGCCTCTACCCCATGATCTTGGGGAATCAGGGAGATTCACTCAACACAGCTCCGATCGCCTCAGGCTCCCCATAAAACCAGTGGTGACAGATAAGTGCTTGTGGAGGGTAATTTGTATCCTAGGCAAGCTGAAGTGCCCTTTCTCTTTTCCGTGATTATCTGGACAGGTGATAAGACTCCTAATTTGGTGCCTGGGGTAGCTGCCTAACTTTCATGGTATGAGCTGCTCTCTCGGGGTTTGCAGTTACATCTCCAGGGACACATGATAATACAACAAAAACAAACAGCCCAGGATTTTCCAGGCATTCTCAACATGGTAACTTTATAAAGAGAACACAAACCAACCTGTCCCAGATGGATAAACCCTGTCTGCATTTGCCTGCTCTGTTTTCCTTGCGTGTTAGGTCAGAATCTTTTTGAGTCCTGACAGTCTGCTTTACAAGTGTGGTTTCGTTAAATCACCACCTTCTTTGCCCCTTACGTGCACCTGCAAATCAGTTTCCTTTTATTCCAGCTGATCCCACAGCTAGGTTCTTTATGAAAACACAAGCCTATTGCTTATTCCTGTTGCTTGGTAAGTTCTTCAAGTATGGAAGACCCCACTTTCAATTGCTTCTGACTTAGTGATCCTTCAAGGGAAATCCTAGTTAGACCCAGCTTTGCAGGGTAAGTGGAGAAGAGGACTGATTCTACTGCTTTTGAGAGTTAAATGTGTCTACTTGTTGCTGAATCTTAATGACAATCCTCTACGGTGATGGGTTAGCAGGCACTGCCCTCCTTTGCGGAGTACAAAGGACTCAGCTCTGCAGCACACAACAATGAGCATTTGATACAGCCAATTGCTATTCAAAATCTGTATATAAAGAGATGACACAAATTATTGTACTACAAATGTCCCAAATAATATTTTGAGGATTAGCATTGAAATGGTTGGAATGCTTTTTTCTAATGCTTTCTGAGGCTTTCTTTTTTTTCAAAGTTGTAATAAATTTGCATTAAGAAGGTTAATTGCATGAAATGCCAGAATGCAAAACATCTCAACGTTGCTACATTTCATGACTTGCTGATCTGATGCTGACTCTTTCCCTCCGTGATACTGTTTATGTGAAATTGTCAGAAGTGTGACTTCAGAGGGAAAAAAATTATCTTTGGCACCTTTAATTGTGTGGGAAGTAGGAAAACACGTTGGCTGGTGGTCTGCAGGGCCAGATTTATGTGTATGGAAGAGTGCCAGGCCCAGATTTATAGTTGTTGCTATAAGAGAAAAATCAGGCGCTGTCTAACACAGGGGTTTAATTCTCCCCCATCAAGTGATGTCAATGAGAACAGCATCTATCATGTGACAACAAAGAGTGGGGTGCTCATGTGGACTGAGTTTATCCTAAAAGGGAAGGGAAGAGCATGAGTTGAGGTGGCTTATACAATGAAAAAACCTACTGGTTTCACCATGTTAGTCACAGAGAGCTTATCTGCTTGGTTCAGAGAGGACCGAGTGGAGATGCTTTCAAAGGCCTTGCTGGCAGAGTCATCCATGGAACTGAAACCTGTCAGCATGTGATAATTTGTGTTATTCTATATTTAGAGCAGCAAGTCACAGCAGCAGTTGTTCATGTCTGGTCTTTAAACTGTCAAGGAGAAAGCAAGGCTTCCTTAGATGGGCCTGAAAGTCCTCAGACAATCTCTGCAGAATAGATTTCACTGCTTTATTTCACCCCGGTCAATAACAGTATTTATTCTGATGGTTAACACAAGGTGAGGTAAGGGTCTGTTGTAATTAACATCTTCAGCTCACAGGTCCAGACCTCTTCGTGACACATCTTTTGCTCATCGATACAGAATTACACTTCCTCACCCCAGATGGATGGTCTTGGCTGGACACAGGCTGTTTTACTGGGAGCAGCCCTACTCATGGGCATCCCTCTGGGTACGGATCCCATGGCTCATTTCTGCATGGCCAAAACCTAAATTGCAGTAATGGTCTGCATTATTTCTAATTAAACTATTTTCTTCCAAATTACTTTCTTGACTAAATCTGCCTGGGATCCTGATGTTCTGCTTGAAAGTATATTTTTCAAGCCTGATTTTGACACCAGACTAAGATAGGACTGAAAAGGCTGGAAATACTGTATTAAATAAACCCTCTCCACATCCCACATTTCTATTGATCTCGGGTCAAAGTGTAACATTTCAACACCATTGAAACATTTAGTTCAGGTGTCAGCTCTTTAAAACAATATTCTTTTTTTCTTTTAACAAAAGAAACATCCATTTTCTTTTCAAAAGCATGTTTTGAGCAACAACATGACAGCTTTCAATTCCGAGGCTGTTACAAGTGGGACACGCCGATATTATCTGGTTTGGCTTTTGCAGAATGAAATCTGATGACAATCAGGAAACTGTCATGATGAAAACAACTTTCTGCAAACCTCTCCCTGTCCCCCAGCAATCTGGCAAATATATTCTCCCATTACATCCCTCCCAACTGTGCTCCTTGCTGGGGTTTTTCTTGCCTGTCAATCAAAGTGAGTTTGAGCTCTGCAGCCTGGCTAATCCTTGGCTTCTTGGCTTGGATCAGCTCTGTTGCAGACCTTCTCTGCTATGTATACCTGTCCTCCAAATAGAGGCCTGAGACAACCAAAGCATTTTCCATGAGTCATGGAGCAGCCACCAGATAGCAGTGCTATTCCATTTGTGCGGACTGAGGTTATTGCTGTGTCCCAGCTTTATCTGGCACCTCTGTCGCACTCTCAATGCTAATCCATCCATTTCTTCTGTTTCTGCAATCTTTTCAAATAGCAGAAACACATGAAAGTAGGAAGAAAATGGAAATTCTGCCTCTATTATGTCTGCCATAAAATGTGAATTTAAAACTATTCACAGACGAGTAAAAAGTAATCATTCCAGCATTGGGTAACTGCTGAAAATGATGAGTCACAACAAGGGATCCGAATTTATCTGTTTTCTGTTTGTTTCAGTGGCAGGTGAAGGTGGGTTGATTTAATTTTTTTTTTAAAGACAGTGAGACAAGTGTTGATTTAACAGTTTAGTCATCAAAGTAATTCCACTTACAGAGCTGCAGGACTCCAGAGAAACATATTCACCAGCTGGAATTAACATCCTGCATGCAGCACTGTAAAAGCTTTGCAGATTTCCTCCATAGCATACAACAAAATGTTATTTTGTACGGAGGCTTCTATAGAAACTGGATTGAAAAGTATTTCTTTTTTAGAATGAAATGAGGCAAAGCAGTCATAATGACATTGCCTGGTGAATAAATTTCAGCCAGAGAACTCATAGCAGAGGGTGAGCCGAATTAACAGGTAGATGTAAGGAGAACAGGAGAAATTAGTTCTAAACTCCATGTTGAAAAGAAATGGACAGCTGTAGAGGCAGGGAGAGAAGATCCTGATCCTTCCAGGTGGAAGGAGCTTCCCCAGAGAGCATCACAGCTCCTGCTCTGAAAGCAGAAGAGTGTATGTGGGCTCAAGGAGAAGAAACCACCCTTGACAAAGTTGGCACAACAAGTTCCTGCACACTAAGAGACCATATTTTTATGCAAAGTCTGTCAAAATGCATTTTGTGCTGGCTCACAGATTCCCTAGAAATGCTTCTTGCCCCAGTGAATCCCGTGACAGCTTTGCAGTAATGGTGTGGAAGGGAACGTGCTACGAGATGCCAAGGGCCAATTTCCAAAGTTGCTGGCATCTAATTTATGAGTGTGGAGTGTGCTCACCCAGGATTTCACTGATTCATTGGCTATCAGGGCTAACTAG